AAGGGCTCCCAGACAGAGCAGCCTGACACACATGTCTCCATCCAGTACATAGAGGGACAGATATCAGGGCCGCATTCTCTCTTCTAGTTCATTTCTCTGGTTGTGTTTTAGTGTCACAATGCTGCCAGGTAAGCTGCGGGCAAGGCTCGGGGGTGATATGCCTGGCCTGCTGACAAACCCTTCCTTGCTCTGGCTCCAAGCTGGGTGGCAACATAAAACCTTTCCTTTTCCATGAGTCTACCTCCACCTCTCAGGTTTAAATTTCATTGCATCAATTTATTTTCTTGTTTGTTGAGACAGGGACTTACTTTGCTGTTCAGTGTGGCCTTGAACTCACAGTGATCCTCTTGCCTCGACCTCCTGAGTGCTGGGATTACAAGTGTGTGCCATCACCCCCAGAAAATTTGGGGGGACGGGTGTTCTATGTTTCTGGATAAAAGAAAAAGAAATTACCAAATTATTCTGCACGAAGATGGCCCTGTATCCCCCTGGTAGGGCTGCCTGGAGCCTCCACGCCCCAAGCTGCAGCTGGGCTGGTTCTCTCCGTCAGTAACTCGGGTCCCACTCTGGGCTCAGGGCACTGCACAAAGCTTCTCCTGGTCTGGTCCTGCTGAGGGCTGGTGAGAACAGCCACAGGTACAGTGGACATGGTAGGGAACTTGCTCTATCTCCTTATTGATGAGAGAACTGGTGAGATGTCAGTCCATCCAGGAGAAATCCGAGAAGCACACAAAGGGTTGGTGTGATCAGCAACTAGAGGGCATGTTTAAAAATTTTTTAAAAGACACATTGTCGTTACCCTATCTCAAAATGGTATGACTCACTGGGAACACACTCGTCCCATCATTCTTTCTGGAGCATTTCTGAAGGCTGCTTTCCTGAGGATCTGTAATTGTGGTGCCTTGGTGTCCTGAATTGATTTAAAATATTTCCCTGTCATGGTCATTTTGACTTTAGAAAAGAGCCAGAAGTTGCATGGCACCAGATCTGGTGAATAAGGTGGATGAGGACACAGGGTCGTGTTCTTACAAGCTGCCCTTCTGTGTTTTGTTCAGACAGGGTCCCATTGTGCAGTTCAGGCCGGCCTCAAACTCCCAGCAATCCCCCTGCCTCAGCTTCCTGAGGGCTGGGGCTGCAGGCCCCACATGCCTTCCTGTTGGCTGGCCCCCAGCAGCAGCACTCACTGTAATTTTTTTTTAATTCACACCTTATAAAGACACCCAGTAAAAGACTTCCAGAGCTGCTGCAGAAAGTGACAAGGATGATGGAATAAATGTGTTCCAAGTGAGGGGAGGATTTTGAGGGAGATTCATGGCAATGGATGTTTTATTGTAATCATTCTTTAAAACATTCACCGCGTATTTCAGCCATACTGGGTGTGTGGAGCAGAGGAACGTTACAGTGAATTTACCAGTGGGGTCAGGATTATTTTTCATCAGAGTCAATCCAGTCTTTCTTGCTTATTCCACATTTTCTTTAGCCTTCCTGCATTTTACAAGAAATAATCTTAAAAGACACAACTCTGATCACAGAGGAGGCTTTCTCACTGGGTTCAGCTTGATTGTGTGTTGGGCATCCAGAGTCTGGGTACCATGTGACTTTTCTGAGTTTGTTTTGTTGGAAGATTTCACAATTCAAGTTTTAGAAGCCTGCATTATTTGTCACCTTGAGGCTGGGAAGGCAAACACACACACACACACACACACACACACACACACACACACACAAATCCTTTCTCTCCCAGATTTTCCCTGCAGTTTTTGCAAATTTGGGTGGACTCCTCCCTCCTTAAGGTCTGCACAGTACCTGAAGCTTCCAGCCTGCCAAAGTGGGGCCTTCTTTCCCATGTGGATGCTGAGACCCCAAGAACTGGATCAAGGTCATCACCACCGCCTGGGGACTTTGTGAGTTTGACCCTGCAGAGCTGGCACAGCTCCAGCCTCTGTGGGTATCGGCTCACTTGAGCAGATGAGGTTTGTGGAAACCACCTGGGTACTCAGTGCTCAGGCGGAGCCCCCCTGAGGAGGCTCCTGGTTCACCTCTGTGCAGTGGAGGGTGGTTCCTGCAGAACCCTTGCAGATAACCCCGTTGCCATGGAAAGTGGGAGACCATTACGCCAGTCACTGGGGGTGGGGAGGAGGGAGAACCAGGAATTGTCTTTTCAATGCTTCATTTCAGTTTGCAACAAATGTGCCAGATTGCTAAGGGCTATGGTTGCTCAGACTGGAGCAGGGGCTTCCTTGAAGCACCAGGTCAGCCAGGCTGGAGAGAGCAATGGGGGGCCCGTGTCTCCCACCAGGTACTCTGAAATGACTTGCAGGGCTGGGGTCCCTGTCTCATGATGCATCTGTCTCAACAACAAAGAGTTGTGGAAATCTTGAGCGGCCCCTCAGGTCTAGGGAAGAAGGAGTCAGAAACTGTCCAGGTTCTTGTTTCTTGGGGGCTCGTGGTTTGGGGTACCCAGTGTAGCCCACTCCAATAGCACTCTGATCCGCTTCGTCTGAGTCACGGAACTCTGGCCCCAGAGCCCTCAGCCAGTGTCTGAGCTAAGCCTGGCTGTCTGGAGACGCCAGCTGTCCCTCGTTTGGGCCCATTTTATAGGACATAAAGTTGAGACACAAAGAATTTGCAGAGCCTGCTTGGCATCACTGAGGCTAGCAGCAGAGTCAGGGATCTCCCACCAGGTGGCCCAGCTCCCTTGTGAACTTAGCCACCCCAGCTGCAGCAGGAGAGCCCGGCCACCATCCCTTCCCTCCTGTGGGATCACACAAGGTGAGACTCAGTCCTCGGCACCTTCACCTCTCCAGGTGCTGCCAGCCCCAGCTTCCCACAGGCACCCCAGAAAGTCCTTGGTGGACACCCATCTTGCCCATGGGACTTCACACTCAGCCTGTGTGCCTGAGGGCTGGGACAGCCCCTGCCTTCGTGGTGCCCTTTGTGCACATGTTGGGGTCCTTTATAAAGGAAACAAAGCTGGGACTGAGCAGGGCCCACCTCTTGGCATGGAGAGACCCTTAGGGACACATGGCTGAGCTGCTGCTCCTATTGCAGGAAGCCTGCAACAATAACATGCAGATTCTCAGGATCCTGCCCAAGCCTACTGCATGGAGACCCCAAGATGGGGTGCAGAATCTGTGCACCCCAACCAGATGCATGCTTTGAAGAGCCCATCCCTTCCTACGGGAGAGCACCCCGAGGAACCTGCCTGCCCGCCTCTTCTGCCACCCACATCTCCCAGCCCAGGAAACCAGCACCCCGAGGGAGCTGCTCAGAGATTCAAGTGGAAGTCAGAATCTATCCCACCTGGGGGTCCCTGGGCCTGACCCAGAGCCTCAGCCAGGGGGCCCACAGCATGAGCTGTGGCTTAATGGCCATGGTTCAGAGAAAGATGAGTGGGTGTCAGAATGTGGAGAGCCACCCATGGGACCAGAGCCGAGGGCTGGGATGGGGACAGAGCTGAGAAGCTCAGGTATCTCTTGAGGTGGTATCCATCCTCTGTGGGTGTAGGGCACTAGCATGTGCTGTGCAGAGGGCCAGGCCCAGAGGGAGACCAGAGTGGACCAAGGGGGAGGCTACTGCAGTGGTCCAGGCATGGCAGGGCCGAGCTGAGACAGTGCCTTGGAGCAGAGTGATGTGGCCGGCATCAGGGACAGGGCAGATGCACAGGGAGGACCTCAGGACCAGACACCTTGCTGCTCTGTCCCTTCATTGTTGGTCTAGCAGCACATAGGAAATGGTGTTAGTCACAGAAGGGCTAAGTTTACAGGATGGGATGTCCACTTCCCAGAATTCGCTGTTTCTGAATAAATGAGAACACACTAATCTCATCTTTAAAACCTCATGCCATGACTGGCCGCAGGCTTGCTAAGTAGCAAAGAAGGTGTTTACAGGGGATCTAAGCACTGTGTCTGGGGGAGATGATTCTTGCGAGGAACAGGGGCTTCAGTGTCAACTGCCCATGCCCTGTGCACCTCGGGGACCCCCTTGGCAAACACAAGACCCCCATCCACAGAGGGTTTGTTCTAAGACCCCACAGTAGGTGGCTGCAAGGGTGTCCAGCACTGCATGTGCTGTTTTTCCTACACACAATGTATAGCTGTGATTAGTTTGTAAATTAGACACAGTAAAGCTAAGCCAACAATAACTGACCATAAGATAGAAGAGTTATTTATGGCAGAGGTCACCCGAACAGGGAGCCCCACGGGGATATGATCCCCAGAGCGGCTGCCAGCTGGCTTTTGGGTAAGTACCAGATGCACCCAGTGTGTCCAAGATGAAGGGTTGAGTCTCCAAGCCTGGGGACCTGAGGTGTCCCCACTCAGGATTTTGCACTTACAAATTGTTTCTGGGGTTTTCCGCTGAAGATTTCCAGACCTGGTTGAGCGAGGGTGAGCAAACTCAAGGGGTGAAACAGTGAGTGGGGTCTGGAGGCACAGGGAGCCTCCACCCTCACAGCCTGGACCCCTTGGGCTGGAGAAGTGGGAGTGAACCCGGTTCCCCTGCTGTCATAGCCACAGTGGTCATGAGGTAGCATGACACTGACACAAGCAGTCCCCGGCTGCTTTGTGGTGACTTTGATTCCTTTAATTGAATCACTCAACTTCAGTCCCCAAATACAAAGCCAGTCTCTTTTTTAAGTTAGCAAACTTAAATTTCCTTTTTCATATAATGGTACTCTGAGACAACTGGAGCCTACAGTGGGACAACACTCAGTCTCACCTGCTGGGAATTTTGTGCCACGTGCAGCCAAGGTCACCCACAGGTGTGCAGACATGAGAGTGCTTTATCTTTCATAACCCTTCTCAGTGGACAAAGAACAAAGCTTTTCACAGCCCAGCTAAGTGAAAAGATGTACATGTGACATCCTAGTGCCTGTGGTTATGGTTTTGCTTTATGAAATAAACCTTCCAGTCTGACTGGGAGAGGAAGCACATGGAATCTGACATTGCCATGGAAACCAGTTGTCCCGTGCCTCACTGCCTGTGGCTTCTGTTTTGTAGGTGGTTTTCAGCAAGTACTGCAACTCCAGCGACATCATGGACCTATTCTGCATCGCCACAGGCCTACCTCGGTGAGTGCCGCCTGATGGGCTCTATGGAGGGCCCTGGGGTGCAGGTGGTGGCAAGGGGTGGGGGCCCTGGCCTTTCCAGTCAATGAGCCAAGCCCCAGGGAGCTCAGGCTCTGGGCAGAATTCAGCAGAAGCACCCCTTTCAGGTTGGGGTTTTTTTCTCTCACTAGTGCATTAGCTTTGGAGAAAGGAAGCTGGTTGGGTTTAGGTTTGGTCTTCTGTTCTATCTTGTGGGTTGTTAACAGCTCACGTGTGCCCCAGTACTCAAATAAGAGTTGCAAGGGCCAGGCACCTGTCTCACAGAGGAGTTCATTTTCTCAACCTACTTTGCATAAGCCTGGAAATTTTCTAATGCAGGTTGAGTATGCCTCCGCCAAAAAGCTGACAACCAGAAGTCTCCCAAATCTGAGCACTGTGAACCCTGTTCTGATGCTGCACCTGGCTTCATGCCCTCGGGGTGTGGTCAAACCAGGAGCACTAAAAATACTGTATAGATCATCTCTGGCTGCGGACTGAAGGTGTAAAGGAAGGGCCCAGGACCCCTTCCACGTGAGAGAGTCTGCACTCCAAGATGCCTCCGGCCTAGAGCATTTTGGAGAAGGGGTCCTGCCCTGTGCCCATGCTCTGGCTTTGTGACCATAAAAAGTGAGCAGGGACAGCGTGGACGTGAGCGCTAAGGTGAAGATCAGGTTCGAAGGTGAGGGCCAGTTGAAGTATTTCCCAGGCAGAAGTCATATTTCCCAGATGAAGCCATACATCTTGAGTCACAGTAAAGGTCTGCAAAAGTAGCCTATCATTTGGGGTGTCCTGTACAACACACCATGCCTTATAATACGCGCATGTCATTGTTTACACCAGCTCTAAGGTTCAGGTTTCACCTCCGCTGCGCAGATTTTAAAAATTCCCAACTGCAGATGAGAGAGCCTCAGTGACTTGGTCGTGGTACACCTTACCCTTCTATAATGATTTTGTGGGAGCAGATTGAGTCAGTTTTAGACAGATGCCCCAAGGACCTGGGGTCGAAAGGCGAGCTGCAGAGTCAGTGTGGGCTGGTTTCAGGATTGCTTTCTGTGGCACCTTGATTTTGTCAAATCTTCCAATTCCATAAATTAGACTTGTTCCAGTTCCCATGCTACTTACAGTCCTGCGGGCTCTGAGAAGTACACGCAGCTGGTTGGGGCCACTGAACTTTATTCGCCAGGGCAGGGTCAGGGTCCTTAGCACTCGAGCCCACGCGCCAGTGCCACACTGCAGGACTTGCTGACATGAGCCTGTCTTTCAGGAACACGACCATCTCCCTCCTGACCACAGATGACGCCATGGTCTCCATTGACCCCACCATGCCCGCAAATTCAGAACGGTAAGAGGCCAGGCCTCCTTGGGCCGTGACTGCTGTGTCTGCGCCACATGGGAGGGCTCTAGGGTTGGTTCTTAGATGCATTACTGCAGGGGAGGCTGCCTAAGAGGTAGAGATGAATTGAAGGGAGGGTAGGGAATGGGGGGAAGCCAAGCACATCACGTACAGGCACAGATTCTCTACGATGAACGCAATTGTTATGTATATCTGAAATGTACCAATAAAATCTAATTTTAAAAAAAAAGTAGAGATAAGCATCTGGGATGCCTATCATCCCAGAACTTGGGAGGCTGAGGTAGGAGAATTGCCCCAAGTTCAAGGCCAGTCTACACTCCATAGGGAGTTGAAGGGCAGCCTGAACTACATAGTGAGACCCTGTCTCAAAAATAAATAAATAGTAATAACAATAAAAGCAGAAACAATGGGAGGGTGGGGTGAATAGGAAGAAGCCAGGGCAATGCGAGTTCCTTTGCATGAGTCCACAAGAGCCCTCAGGAGCACCAAGCATCTGCCCACATAGGGCCTGATCCGGGGCATCCTGGGCACAGAGGGGGACGTGATAGAGACCCAGACAGAACCAGAACAGGGCAGCAGGGGAGTCCAAGGGAACCTCACAGAACTGCGCAGAGTAGGGAGGTCACTGTGGGTGCCCACGGGCCACACAGACCTGTGGCCCTGCACGTTCACTGCCAGGTGGCCTGGAAAGTCCCATTGGTCTGCAGTTCACAGCTGCAGTGTGCAGGGCAGCACCCCAGTGTGTGGAGGGAAGCTCGGGGCCTGCTCTGGTGTCCTGCTCCTCCCCTGCTGCCCTTGAGGGTCCAGCGGAGGTTGTGGGGCCCCAGCAGGCTGGTCTTTAGGGCATCCCACTCAGTGGACCCACACCACCTCTGAGCCCAGGTGGACACATGGCTGCTCAGTGGTAGCACTGGGGAGTCCGGGTTCCTCTGAAGGACTGGGCTGGATCCCAACTGGGCACCCAGGGCTCCCTCAGCTTCGGCACCTTCTTCCTTCTGTCCTTAGAAGCCTGCAATCCCAGTCAAAAGGGTGCTCAGGCCTTCTCAGCTAGTGGCTGTCACACTCAGCCACTCCCGGGTCCCAGCAGCCCCCCGGGGGCAGGGCACCTCTCCCACCTGAGAGTCTGGTGAGAGACTGGAATGGACTGGTGTGAACTCGCTCCTAATATCCCTGCGAACAGGCAGCACAGTGGGAGGCAGGCACGGGAGTCAGCGAGGTGTGTGCCCGCCCCCCATGGCAGCATTTGGTTTCGTTTTTATACCTTAAGGGTGTTAAGAGTGATGCGTTCCCATGTTGCCTGTGACTGGGAATGCCAGGAGTCATGCGCGGTGATCGCTGCTCACATGTGGTGTGTGGGTCCCTCCATATTTTCTGTAGTTTTCTTTTCCAACATGAGCTCGTTCTCTTTGGGAGACTTGCTGCTCTTGCCCAATAATTAGCATGGGTCAACACTGTGCGTTTTGTCTTTCACTTTTTTATTTTTGCAGTACTGGATTAAACACAGGCCCTTCACACTGAGCTATAGCCCCTGCCTGTTTTTATTTTTTATTCTGAGGTAGGATTTGATAAACTCTCCAGACCAAGCTTGAACCCTCGATCCTCCTGCCTCAGCCCCCTGGAATGCTGGCAGTTATAGGCTCGAGCTGCTATGCCAGGCTTGTGTTTGTCTATTAAAACTGAATGAGGGTGGCTGGGAAGATAAGTCGGCAGTCTAAGCGCCTGCCTGACAAGCACAAGGACCTGGGTTCAATCCCTGGCACCACATGCCATGCCAGCCCTGGAACCCTGGGCACACCATGTGGCCACTAAAACCAGGCATTGTGGTGCATGCCTGTAATCCCGGCCCTGGGTAGACTGAAACAGGAGGATCACTATGAGTCCGAGCTGCATAGTGAGACTCTGTATCAAATAAATAAGTAAATAAATAAAATACTTTGTTTTAAAAAGACTGAATAAGCCCCCACAAATATCTGATGTAAGAGGAAAAAGCATATTCAGCGGCTTCAGCAACAGGCACTTGTCTTGTCCCAGTCTAGGGACTAAATCAAGATGTTGGTTCTGAGGCCGTTTCCTGGCTGCAGAGCTAACTTTTTTCTGTCTTGTGCATGTGGCAGAGATGGAGGGGACAGAGTTTCTTGTCACCTGTGAGGACATGAAGTCCATCTCTTGTCCAGACCCCTTCACCCCTCCACACCCCCCTTGTGGTCCTGATAGTGTGACACAGTGACCACAGCACCGGCCTCCTGGGGAGACACAGCAGGCTGAGCCGCCTTGGCAGCTGCACCCACAGTTCCCAGTGAAGCACATGGCTGTGGCACGTCAGGGCCGGGGACAGGAGCACTGTGTTCTGGTTCACTGCTCTGTTCCAGCACTTCCTGACTATAACCGCTCTGTGAATGTGGGATGAGTGGATGACTGAGCAAGTGACCTGAATAGGTGACAGCTGACCGTGTCCCCAGGCCAGGAGCTTTGTCCTGCTACTGGGTTGCTAAGTTCCTTTGCTGAGGTGAAAGATGCATACTTCGGATTTTAATCTGTGCCACTGCCCGGCCCCGCCACAAGCACCTCCAGCGCTGCCTCCCTGTGCCAGCTCCAAGTTCCCTAAGTGGCCAGGCAGGGCAGGAGCCTCTCTCCCAAGCTACTTTTCAGTCCCTCCTGGCTTCCCAGCCCTTGCCCTTTGCCTGGTTTCCATTGACTTCAGAGTCCGTGCCAGCCCTAGCCCCATATCTGTGGCAGCACACTGCCATCTGCCATGCTCGCTTCCATGTCCCCTGCCCAGCCTCTCTAGGTCTCCTGATTTACCAGGGTGACATCACCAAGGTACTGGGTGTCTTAGCTGGGCCACTGGCTCCATGCTGGCCAGTCCATCCAGGGTCACTGTCATTGTGAACTTAGAGGGGGCCAAAGAGAGAGAGCCATCTGTGTGGGGACCCTGGGATGGATTTGGGTTATCAGGTTAGAACCAAGGGACCAGACTTGAGGGGTAGGATGCCCACGACAAAATCTGTGTCATTGACCAAATGTGTATGTTTTAAAGCATGTTCACTGTTCACTGTTCTGGAGACATAATAACGATCTTTAGAACTCATCAGATGAAGCTTAGAACAGCCTAAGAAAGTAATTTTTAAAAAAGAAAAAGAAAAACAAGTTAGGCATACTAGCACATACCTATAATCTCAGCACTTGGGAAACTGAGGCAGGAGGATTTCTAGGAGTTCAAGGCTGGCCTGGACTGTATAATGAGACTCTGTCCCAAAAAAGAATCAAACAAGGTCAATTAAGACTCAGGACATATGAGAACTTGTACTGTAACATCATATAACTTGGTTCTGTCCCAAATTTTCTGATCAAGGAGATTATGGGGACAAAGAGGAAAGTGATCAATGGTTTAGAGTGTGCCTAAGGAGAGTCACATGGAGAGAAAACATTCTCTCAGGTTTTCACAGAGAGCACATTGGCCAAGCAATGGCCGTGACTCATCCACATGGCTTATACTGACAAAGGATCTGCAATCTGAGTTACAGGATCTCAGGATAAATCCTGAGGGGATTTGACTGAACGTATTAGATCCAAAAGCTACAACTCTTGTTGCATAGGTCCTGCTTTACCTTGGTCTTAACCATCCAGCAGAAAAGTATAAAAACGAAGTATAAGAAGTAAAGCCATGCTGTTATGTTGAGCTGTAGGGGACTCAGGTCAACAACTTCTGACATTGCCTGTCAAGCAGAAGACCCAATACTAGTATGGACTACTGGACTATTTTGGAATATTTTGCTCAATTCACACACCTATAATATTTAAATGACGGAACTAAACAAAGAAGGGGATACAGATGCATGACCATTTTGTATCTTTGTATTCAAAATGGTTAGGATAGATATGTAGCTACAATCTCTTAATTCAATGAATAGAGGGATTTGTTCTAATAGTGTTTATAAACAGGCTATCATGTCTGCATCTTGTACAACAAATAACCACTAGGAAGACAGTATGCAATTTGTTAATTATTGAAACTGTTCTTCCAGTTTGGTTTGAAACTGTCTCATTGCTATTTGTTTCTCAATAAAATTATGGGAAAAAAAGAATCAAAAACACGAGGAGTGTGGGAATGCAGCTCCTTGTGCAGCACATGCTCATCGTGCCTGAGGCCGGGTTCTGTCCCCAGACACAGAAGGCCTGACTCACTGAATCCAGTTCTCTGTGCTCATTTCCCGTGGCAGAGGAGCAGCAGCTGGGACGGCCTCTCACTGCGCACTCTCTTCTCTCTTGCAGAACGCCCTACAAAGTGAGACCTGTGGCCATCAAGCACCTGTCCGGTGAGGCCCCCCTCCTCCCACTGTTGGTACTAGGAGAGGAAGCGAGCTTGAGGCTTTCGGGTTGGGGTCTGCAGCCTGCTGTCCTACACCATCTGAGCCTCGCACTGCTGCAGGCACAGCCTCCTGAGACCCCACTGGGACCCTGAGGACTTTGCCTTTACTGGGTGACACTGCTTCCAAACCTTAGGGCCTCCCAGGACCTCCTGGGTCCTCAGCTGGTCATGTTGTTCTGTTAGAAAGAATCCCGTTTCTTTCTGAATTTTGAAATCGCTTCTGTTTAGATGTGGTTTACACATGATACCACTCTGCTGATGTCAAAAGTGCTTATTTTTGTGTTTCGGAAAATATATGCACCTGCCCAAACCAAGAGCCAGCACAGGGACCCCACCTACAATATCCACCTGAAACAGTGTTCTGTAGCATGAGGGGTGCCAGCATGGTTTTCCATTGCCACATGGATGGATTTGTGAGCTGTTGCCAGTGGGGGGCTTTTATGAATATACCACCTAGGAGCATCAAAGGCATTGTCATTTCCCTTAGGTTGATACTTCAGAATGGACACTGAGCCATGTGGTCACATATATGTTTGACTTCGTTTTGATTTTTGAGAGAGGGTCTCACTGCATAGCCCAGGCTGACCTCAAGCCCTCAGCAATCCCCCTGGTTCAACCTCCTGAGTGTGTGTATGCTTATTTTTATCAAATGAGCCAAGGGTTCCAGAGTGACGCCAGCAGGGCTTGGGTTGGGTGCCCAGCTCTCCCACCCAGGGTGGTGGCAGACTTTCAGCGTTCTCCATCCTGATGGGTGTGTGGTGGCTCAGGCTGGCATTTTCAGTTGTGTTTTCCTAGTGACTCCTGGCCTTATTTCCGGCATTTAATACCGCTCATCAACCTCCTTTGTAAAGTGTCCATCCGTTCAGATCTTCGGGGACATATTGCCTGCTTTCCTCCTGAGCTGTGCATGTTCCAAGGAGCCACACCCTTTGTCAGATCCAAATTATAAACACTTTCCCTGCTCTACACACTTCCCTTTCATTTTCTGATTAGCAGCTTTTGATGACCATAGGTTTGGCACTTTGTGAAAACCAGGTTTTATCAATTTTGGTCTTTAATAATGTGTTTTTGCTCCATGATCAAAGAAATCTGTGTTTATCCCGTAGTTATGAAGCCCCCCCCCTTGCTTTTCTCCAGGAGTTCTGCACTTATAGATTATACAGATAGAGTATTTACTTATGTACATTTATTTCAAGATGTTGGGAGCCACAGCACAGCCTGTGTGATCAGTTTTCCATTGAATTCTATGTACGACATGAGATAAGACTTTAGGTTTCTTTTCCTTGGTTAAATTTAAATTTTTGGAAAATTAATGCTTATGGACTAGACTTTAAAACACCTATGGAGAGTCAGACAGTGTGAGTGGTAGTGGGCCTCAGCTTCTGATCTATAAAGTGATAGCATTCACAGGAGACCACTAGTTCCTTTAATTCATTTGCCTATTTGTCTATTACCTTCTGCAGTACTGAGGATTGAAGTTCAGGCCTTTGCATTGAACACCACCCCTGCCTTTTGACTTTTATTTCGAGACAGGGTCTCACTAAGTCACTAAGTCCAGGCTGGACTCACACTTGCCGTCCTCCTGCGTGAGCCTCCCAAGGGCTGAGGTCTCAGGCGTGCTCCACTGTGCCCTGTTAGTAGCTGCTTTAACTTGTTTTGTGGCTGAGTTGCTTTTTATGAAAACTCTCAATTCAGTTCTTTTGACAGTAAATGGTAGAATAAAAATAATGGGTTCTAGCTTTTCAATACAAAATACTTTTCAATAGAAAATGCATACAGTTGTTATGTTACTAGTGTTTCATTTTGATTTCACCAGGGCTTCACCCAGTGCCCTTCCCATGCCCCAGATCTGCCCATAGCCTGTTTATGATCTCTGGTCCTCTTGGGCTGTGCCTGCTTCTCAGGCCTCTTGTTACCCTCAGAACCTCAAAACTGCTGCCTCGTGTCCCCTGCTGGGCTTGCTCAGGCCTCCCTCACAATCAGCTGGGGTGATTTTAGCTTTGGGAGAGAATCTGTGGAGCGTGTCCCTGTGGCATTGCTGGCCATCTTGCTGCATGGCCACAAGGCATTCCTGGCATCAGGCCCAGCCAGCCAGGAGGAGAACGGGCTGAGGATCCTTCACTGTGTCGCTCAGTGTGTGCTCCATCAACCCCCTGGCCCCAGAGTCCCAGGGCACCTTTGTCCACTCCTAAGTGACCACGCACATGGGTTTTGCTGGCCCCGACATCCTGTTCCTTAAAGCATGCCATCTTGATGACTGTAGACAACAGTCTTGAAGATGAGTAGTGTAAGCCTCCTATTTCTTTCATCTTTTGCAAAAATATTCCTGTTTTCATTTTCAAATACATTTTTGGACCAATCTGCCCATTGCTGCCAAAAAAGGAAAGAAAGAAAGAAAGAAAGAAAGAAAGAAAGAAAGAAAGAAGGAAAGAAAGAAGTCTTACTAGGACTTACTAAAAATCCTTGTAAGTATACATTATGGAATGATTTGGGAGAATTCTGGTCTTAATAATGTTGAGTCTCCTACATCACAAGTAGGACGTAGCTTCCATACATCTGGGCTCCCTTTTCTGTCTCTCATTGTTTTAGTTGCAGTGTAAAGTTCTTTAGTATATATTGATAAATCCATCACTAAACATTTCATTTTTTAAATGCTATTAATAAATGTTTTGTTTTGTTTTTTTAATCCCAGGGCTTGGAGGATAGTTCAGGAAGAGATGACTTGCTTAGCATGTATGGAGATCTAGTTAGAATCCCCAGCATACCACACACACACACACACACACTCACTCACACTCACACACACACACACTGAATTTCCAGTTTCAATTTCCACTGTCTTTTAGTGTATGGGAATACAGTTAGGCTTGTGTGTTGGCCTCCTGACTCTTCCCTTTCCACAGATTTCTTATAATTCTGCAGGTAGTTTTTCCCCATCTGCAAATAGAAAATTGCTTTTTCACTTCAGTCTGGGCGCTTCTGTACTTTTGAGCCCTTTCTCTTGCCCTGTTGTGCTAGCGAGGCATTCAGCCCGAGACAGCACGGGTGAAGGTGGCAGTCTGAGGGGAGACTGTGAATGTGCTCACCTCTGGGAATAGTGTTTGCTCTAGCCTCTTTCTCAGAGTTTTTGTTTGTTTTTCTGTATTTCCAGTTTGTTAAGAGCCTTAATTATAAGATGGTGTTAAATTATGTCAAATGCTTTTCTGTCCCCCCTCCCTTGAGATGCTCCTGTCTTTTCTCCTCTGTTCTCTTAACAATGAATTGTACCAGCTGATTTTAAAGCACTGACTTGCATCCCTAGTATAAACCCATGTGGCTGTGGCATATCCTGTTTTTTTGTTTCAGAGTCGGTTTACAAGCGTCTTTACGTCAGCATTCAAGAGAGCTGTCCCCAGTTCTTTTAAACTGTGTTCATCTGGTTTTGCTGTTAAGGTAACACTGGCCTCACAAAGTCAGGAGGGAGGTGTCCCCTCTCCTCCCCCACTTTCTGGGAAGTTGGCCTAGGGATGACATTTCTGCTTTGCATGTTTGGTAGAATCCATTGGTGCATCTGGCTGTGCTTAAAGGCTTTTGCAGGAAAGCTTTGTGCTTTTTGAATAGAAAAGAACACACAGGTTTTCTTTCCTTTGTGGGTTCACCCAGCACAGCCCTCCCCCTGGAGTTCCAGGGTGCCCGCATCTACATGCAGGGGACCACAGTTGAGTCTTTCTGTTCTCTTAATGTACACGCCTGTCATGAGACCCAGCACATGGGGGTCTTGATGATTATAGATTGTCAGAAAGTCTGGAGGACTTTCAACTGATGAAATTGACAACATTCAGCACCAGATCCTGCCCTGGTGGTGCATACCTATAATCCTAGCACCAGGGAGGCTGAGCTAGGAGGGGTGCCATGAGTTCAAGACCAGCCTGGGTTACACAGTGAGTTCAAGACCAGCCTGAGCTACATAGCAAGACCCTGTGTTAAAAATTACTCTTCCTCCCAAAATCAGCACCAACTTATAATTCAGGTTCTCAAAAAACTAGAAACACAAAGGGCCTCACCTCTGTTCCTTTTGTCTTGGTTTCTCCCAGGACTTTATTAAGTGATCAGGCTGAAAAATGCTCCTTCCTTCTTACTTCTGTAGGGGTTTAGTGGGAGCCCCCGCCAGGGTGTCAGTGCTGCCTACAGCACTTCATGGGCATCTCCTCTGAGATGTACCATTAGGTGGCTTTTGAAACCAATCCTCCCCACCCCCTCATCCCCCCACCCCCTGCGTGCACTGAGGCTGCAATTGAGCCTGGGCATGGTGGCACGGGCCTATAATCCCAGCTCTTAGGAGGCTGTAAACAGGCAGATCACTATGAGTCCGATCTAGTAGTGTAGATACTTCCCTAAAATAAAAATTAAAAAAATTTAAAAAATTAAAAAAAAATAAATAAAACTAATCTGCTTGAGCAGCATACATTTTATTGATTTATTTTTATTTATTTATTTATTTGTTTTTTGGAGAACCGGGGATTGAACTCAGGCCCGTGCACTTGCCAGGGAAGCGCTTATTCCACTGAGCCATCTCCTCGGCCCTATTGATTTATTTTTTCAATGAGCCAGTTGTGGGGTTATTCTCTCCCTTTCTCCTTCTCTTTTTGTTTTCTGTTCTTTCTTCCTTTCCTGTCCTGTCCTGTCCTGTCCTGTCCTGTCTTGTCTCCTTCAGTACTAGAGATTAAACACCAGGCCTAAGTCTGCATCTTGTACAGCAATTAACCACTAAGAAGAATATATGCAGTGTATTATTTGTTGAAACTGTACTTTCGATTTGATTTGAAACTGTCTCATTGCTATATGTTTATCAATAAAACTTTGAAAAGAAAAATAAAAAATAAAAAAAAAAATAAACACCAGGCCTTTAACTAAACTACATAATCGGCCTTTTTTTTTTTTTTTTTTTTTTTTTTTTTTTTCTTTTCT